TTTTTATAGTGTCGGAATGGATTTTAGGTTGTTAAGATGGACGAATCCATTTGTCCAATAGAAGCTCAGCTTCTCTTCAATTAGTGTTGCCTCCTTTATGTCCGAAAAAAGAAAATTTTTATGCACCCTCCAATTTCTTGGACTCCAACCTAAAGATTAGCATCCGCCTTATAATTTCCATTAAAATCTTTCTTCTTCCAAATATTCGTTTGGACTCTTTACAACTGCGTTTTGCTGTTTTTTAAAAGAGGGAAGTTAGTTTTCACACTTGTAACGTCAACCGGGCTAGCGAATGCTGATGAAAATGCAGGCAAGTGAAGTTGAAAATTCCACCAGTATTTGCACTTGCAAAAGGCCTTCATCATAGACGATTAAAGTAACTCACGTTTGAAAGGCCATTCATTTCCCCAAAAGCTTCCAGTTGACCAAAAAATGCAATTTCGAAGTCCTTGCGACGCTCCCCTTATAATACGCATTGCAGCACTCAGTTGACCGTTTACTACCGGCTTCGACCACCAATAAATTTCCAAGCCTCTGGTAATACGCTGGCCAGCTATTAAGGCTCAGCAACCATGTCGTTCAGTTTGAATAGAGGCTTAGAGCACTCCAGTCAATGTGGAGGACAAATTTGTAACTTTATCGCAGCGAGGTCATGGCTGTCCTTCAGTGTCTTGGGGGCGGAGGACAAAATTAAGATCGTTCAGACAGCAATACACAAATTTAACCTCACTTAGGGCCATAAATTTCGACCATTTGCTGGGCGAAAAATAACTGTCTGCTGACAACATCACCAAATTATTTACATTGTTGGCAAATGGAATATGTGTGTGTGTGTGTGTGTACAATTTTGATTGCTGTTTTCAGGATTTTGCGCACAAACAATGGGATGCATCAAATGCTAAGTGGATTCAATAAAAATGCGATGACATCTTTTCGTCGTCGAAAAAAATTCGACGACTAATGCCTTGCTTTTTTTTTAAATTTAGTTCAAAAGGAGGCACAAAATCACCTTTACCAATGCAAAGTAAT